GCCGGTGAGATTTGAACCGCCAAACTGCAGAACTGCAGTCAGCTGAAGTGGCCTGCAGTGCTGCATTTAACCACTGCGCCACCGCTGTCCAAAGAAGTCTCCGTGGTCACGTGGCTGGCATGACTCAATGCCAAAGGCGCACGGAACGCTGTTCCCTTCCCACCAAAGGTGGCTCCTATTTTTCTACCTGCATTTTTTTTTACGTGCTTTCGAACTCCTAGGTTGGCAGAAGCTGGGACAAGGAGCTCACTCTGTTACGTGGCACTAGGGATTTGAACCGCCGAACTTTCTGATCGACAAGCTCAGCGTCTTAGCAATAGCCATAGCAGTTAGACTTATATAGCGCTTCATAGGGTTTTCAGCCCTCTCTAAGGGGTTTACAGAGTCAGCATATCGCCCCCACAGTCTGGGTCCTCATTTCACCCACCTCCTCGGAAGGATGGAAGGCTGAGTCAACCTTGAGCCGGTGAGATTAGAACTGCAGAACTGCAGATAACAGTCAGCTGAAGTGGCCTGCAGTAGTGCACCCTAACCACTGCGCCACCTTGGCTGTTAGCCACCGAGCCACCGCCTCCCCTTAATCACGTTCTATGACACCCCCAAAATCTCCAGCAATAGGTTGAAAATATGTGGGGCAAGCCTAAAGATGCTCGCAATGCCCTGTGACCCATTTTGGCTGAGCTACGAACAGAAGTGATAACTAGAGCTGAAACTGACACAGCAACGAACTCTTGCATTGTGGCAAATTATTTTAAGACCAATCGGCCCACCGCTAATAAAAATAGGGGTGTTGATTCTTTAAAAGGAAACACTACGCTTCCGGGCAAATCTGTTTTATGCAGGTGAGGAGAAATTGCTGATTTGGGGAAAACGTAATTAGTTTCCGAGGTTTTGAGCTTGGCTGCTTATACATAAACTCACCTGAAGCGCATTTTCCCACAAAATAAAATCCAGGTATCCCTCGACTTACGATCAGAATGGAGTCAGGTGTTTCCGTTGCTAAGCGAGGAAGGCATTAAGTGTGTTTCCCCCCCCATCCCGGGACCACTTTTCTAGCCACCATTGTTAAGTGGATCGCCGCAGCTGTGTGAAATTAGTAACGTGGTTGTTAAGTGAATTTGGCTTCCCATATTGACTTTACTCGCCGGAAGAGGCCAAAAGTGGATTACAGGACCCCTGGGTGGGGCAACCGTCATACATGTGAATCAGTGGCAAAGAATTCTGATCATGTGACCACGGGGATGTGGCAATGGTCGTAAGTGTGAAAAACGGTCTTAAGTCACTCAATTGGTGACTCTGTAACTTTAAATTCCCACTAAATGAATGGCTGTAATTTGAGGATTAACTGGCCTACCGTTGTGTTCAACCATCTCACAAACGGAAGGAGGACGAGGGGGTCAACTTATTTTCCAAAGCCCCAGAAGGCAAGAGAATCATACAACGGATGGAAACTAATCAAGGAGAGAAGTGATTTGGAATTAAGAAGAAATTTCCTGACAGTGGGGGACAATGAACCAGTGGAACAGAAGTTGCCTCCAGAGGTTGTAGGCGCTCCATCACTGGACAATTTTAAGAAGAGACTGGACAACTGGGATGGTAGAGGGTCTCCTGCTTGGGGAGGTGGTTAGANATGGACTCCAGAGAATGGTAGAGGACAGGAAGACATGGAGGAACGTTGTCCATGGGGTCATGATGGGTCGGACACGACTTCGCAACTAACAACAATATAAAAGATCAGATTTATGTTCGCACAACGCACCGACCCCTGGAGTATTCTATTCTAAACGAATATTTGCTAAATTTATCCAATCTCTTGGATTTAACCCCGTCCTTATGAACGGGATGCCCTTATCAGGAACGAGTAGGAAGTTATAACAAATCTAAAGCATTTGGGGCGTGGGAGCCAGGAATATGCTGACGGGAATTCCGGTGCCTCGCTTGTTTCAATCCACTTGGCAAAGGAAAAGGTTTTGGATACGTGAAGAGAAAGCGGCCGCTTTGTTTTGCTCCCGGGGGCTTTCAGGTTGCGCAATTCGCGAATCTGCCGAAAGGGTTTTTTCTTCCCGGCTTTCCAATCGCGGCTCTCCTCCTCCCTCCTCCTCCTCCTCCTCCTCTCCGAGCTTCCTGTTGCCCGGATGCTCACAGCCAGCGGGAGCGTTTCCTTAGGAACTACGGCAAGAGGCGAGGACCAAGTCCTTCCGGCTTCTTCTCGGGCCACTTTTCCAGGGCCCTCGCCCAGCGCCTTCCGTCCTGCTCCCAAGCGCCAGAGAGGGCGGGGCGGGGCGGGGTGGCGGGGCGGGGACGGGAGAGAAGCGGGGCTGAGTTGAGAAGAGGCGGCCTGCTTTGGGGGGGAGGGGAGGGGGCGGGGGCTGCTTTGACCACCGGCATGACTTTGCCGCACCGCCTTCCCAGCGGCGGCCGTCGCAACTGAAAGCCGGGACTTCATCTTCGTCCTCCTCCTCCTCCTCAGCCGTTGCCAGGCGAAGTGAGAGGGCGGGTCCGAAGGGGAGGGACCAACCGATGGACCAGCCGGGCCTGGAGCGGAGTCTGCTGCAAGAGCTGCTCTTCGGAAAGGCCTCGCGAAATGTGGGCGTAGCGTGGAGGCGAAACAGCCCCTAGTCTTGCCGGGCCCAGGGCCCGTCGCAAGGCGTCGAGGAGGGAGCGCCTGGATAGGCGGATGTCTTCGCCGCCGCTGCTGCCCGGAGCCTGAGGCGGCGGCTCTTTCCTCCTCCTCTTCGCCTTCCCTCTCCGCCTCGCTCGGCCTCTCCCTCCTGCCTTGACCGACCAGTCGCTCAGCTCGCTCTCCTCAGCCGCCGCCGCCACCACCATGTCGGCCAAGGTTCGGTTGAAGAAGCTGGAGCAGCTGCTCTTGGATGGGCCCCGGCGCAACGAAAGCGTCCTGAGCGTCGAGGGGCTGCTGGACCTCCTGGTCGGGCTCTACACCGAGTGCAGCCGCGACTCGCCGCTTCGCAGAGACAGGCTCGTCTCCGACTTCCTCGAGTGGGGTGAGGAAGAGGAGGCCTGGGGGAGGGTAAGGGAAACGGGTTGGGAATCTTGCTGGATCGCTGGGTCGGTTTGGTTTAGGCGAACTGGGGGTGTGGGGTGAGGTTTCCTCTCTGGTCGCCCCCGGCTGAACTCCGGGCGACTTGCTTCCGAGTAGTAGGCAATGGGTACGATGCCTGTTTTTGTAGGGCGATAGAAAGCGGGAGCGCCCACACGGTTTAAACAGGAGTTTGAGATGATCGGGTTGGGGAGTTCGTGGAAATCTGAGACAGAGATGGGTCTGCAGATGGGGATAATAATAAGGGTGGGTCTGGCTGATAAGTGCTTGGGGGAAGTGAGAAGGAAGAATTGCTGGGTTAATTAACAGGAGGATGGGGAAAAAAGAGCGCATCCCCTGTCAAATTGGCCGAAGTAGCAGGAGAAGTGAGGATTATTACCTGAATCATCAGAGGATTGTTCATTTTTTAGGAGACTGCGATGGTAAGAGATTGGAACAGAAACTTAAGCAATAAAGTGGCAATGGTGAACAAAGAGAGCACAATTTCTGCCCTAAAAGCTTTTACAGAGCTAAACATGAACATTTCTGGTGAGAAATGTCTCTTATGAGACTTTGGGAGTGGCAACAGTGAAGATGAAGGGAAGTGTCCTCACTCAGTGATATGACTGATGTACATTGAGCGCATTTGAATTATAAAGAAGGCAGAAGAGCCAAAGTATTATTCAAGCTAGGAGAGCATTGTTTTAAAATAATCATTCATAACAGTTGCAGAAAAAGGAGTTGCATGAATTCAAATGTAGCTGGATGAATAGGAAGATGGTAAGGCCAAAGAATATTAGGGGACTGGAGACTAAAATATGAAGAATGGTTGCAGGAACTGGGTATGTCTAGTTTAATGAAAAGAAGGACTACGGGAGACATGATAGAAGTGTTCCAATATCTCAGGAGTTGCCACAAAGAAGAGGGACTCAGACTATTCTCCAAGGCACCTGAGAGTAGAACAAGAAGCAATGGGTAGAAAGTAATCAAGGA